CGTCCCGTCTCGTCCCGTTTGTTAGCGGGACGGGATGGGCCTACCGTCCGTCCCGTCCCATCCCGTCCCGTCCCGTTTGTTAGCGGGACGGGATGGGACTACCGTTTGTCCCGTCCCGTTTCGTCCCGTTCCGCCACCGTCCCGACTAAATGTCGTCCCGTCCCATCCCGTCCCGTTAATTCTGTCCCGTCCCGTTGGACAGCCATAGTTCGGGCAAATCGGGAATAAAATAAAATAAAATAACGCTTTTTTTTACTCATATACAATTAATCCCATAAAAGTTGCTAGCAAGGAAAAATATTTCGGATTTCTTTTTTTGGATTTTTTTTTTTGTTGAAATAAAACTTCTAAAGACAGATTTTTTTTTTGCCTTTTGTTTTTTGGAATCTTCGAATGAAATACTTTTTTTTAAAAAAAATTGATTTTTTTTTAAAAACACAAAAAATATTTTTTTGGATTTTGATTTATTGGCCACACCTAAAGCACACTACGTTATTCAAAGTTGTTTAATTATTTGCTAAGTTTGGGATTATTGTGAGGCTCAAAGGTTACGGGGTAGAATTACGAAAAAGGTAAGATTGATTATTAAAGATTACTAGAGGTATCAATTATGCCGGGTATAGGTCTGATAATGTGACAAGAAAATAAATCCTACTTATTCATTCTACTTTATCTATACTTAAGAAAATTAATGGAATAAAGTGAAAGCCTACTAAACTCCAACGTGATCTCTACCAAATCAAACAATAGCTCATTTGACTTTTCCAATTCATGATTAATACTCACACTTAACATAAAGCCATAAGAACCCCACTTAACAAGAATAACTATTAAACAAGATATGCACTTAGTGTAAGATTGATTCAAAACACAGTAGCATTTGTCGTTGATGAAGCAGAGAGCAATAAACCACTCAGACTTTCACATTGATTCAACAGTTAAACACACCACATAATCACACCGATAATCCAAAACATGAAATTTTAATGGAAATATTGATAAGAACATGGAAACGGACCTTGAACATGCAACGGTTTTCAAATATATTGATACGAAAAAATCTCCTACTCGTACATAATCTTGTTCAAAGTGAAGAGATCCAGAAACAAAAATGAGACCTTCGTCGTCAACTCGTAACTAACCGTACGCCGGAACCTCGAACCAAGACCTCGTCGGGGACTTTTCCCGGACTGTTTTCACTCAGATTTTAGCGACCAAGAGTGGCTTTTTCCTACTGGTTTTGTGATGTTTGCGAGCTAGTTTTTGGAGGGAGAATCAATGTATTTTTGCGGTAGTTTTGAAGCTGAAAATTGGCGTTAATGGATGTAGGTTTTGCAGCTGTTTTGCTACATTTTTGGGCAGCTTTTGCTATAATTTCGGGCTGCTTTTTGCTGGAATTCAGGGTGAGATTCGTTGCTATTTTTTGCTATGTTTTGGGGGTAGTTTCAGTTGGTTTTTATAGCTAAAAGGGTACTGGATTTTGAGGGTAGTTTAAGGCTGATTTAGAGGTAGGTGTTAATGGAGATTTTGTGCGTTTTGTGCTGGGGAAGAAGGAGGTAATCCCCTCTTCTTCTTCTTTTTTTGTGTGTACATATAATAAGAAAAGATGAGAGGAGGAGTGTTGAAAATGAACCATGGGGCAAGGAATAGTGACACGTGAATAGTGTAGTAAGTGAGTGATGGGACAAGGGAATAGTAAAAAGGGAGTGAGATGTGATATGTGAATAGTGTAGTAGGTCGGTGATGGGACAAAGAAATAGTGTAGGGAAGGTAGGAAGTAATTTTATTAGATTTGGTCCGTGATTCAAATAAATTCTTCCGCCCTCTATGTAATAGACTTTGTTAAAAATATTACATATTCTCTAATAAAGCCTACTAATAAAAATAGTATAAAAGTTAAAATATCAAAATTAAATTTAAAACTATTTAAACACTAAAAAAAGTGATAAAAATTTTAAATATAGTCAAAAATTAGGTGCTCAGTGAATTCTCGTTTCCAGCTCTTCCTTCTCTTCGTCTTCGACTCTTTCGTACCTTTTGATTCAACTGATAATTGATTGAATTCATCAAATTGCATGGTATCAGAGTAGATAATCGATTGAATCTAGGGTTCTTCACTGTGATTTTGTTGAAGAACGAGAGATTCATCGAACCTCTGTTTTGTTTTTGCTCAAAACCCTAATTTTCTCCAATGGCGGTTGATGAAGTCACTGATCAAAGCTCGGTTGTGATTGATCACAATCATCCTCTCTATTTGCATCCATCCGACACACCTGGAGCATTGTCATTGGGTTTCTAGTTGATTGGAATGGAAAATTACACATTGTGGAGTCAAGCTATGGAGGTTTCGCTATTGACTCGCAATAAATTGGGATTTATTGATGGAGCTAATACACGCGACACCTATAGAGATAAGTATGCTAACATATGGGACCGTTGTAATGCTATACTAAAATCCTGTATTATGCATAATGTAAGTCGCGATCTGTTAAGCGGTGTTCTGTTTCGCTCAAATGCATGTGCAATCTGGGCTGACCTGCGTGAGCGCTTTGACAAGGTGAATGCTTCACGCATGTATTATCTTCACACAGAGATTTTTACATTGACTCAAGGAACGTCTATTGTGTCTGTGTATTACTCTAAACTGAAGGACCTTTGGGATGAATACGATTCAATAATGCCACCCCCAACTTGCTGTGATAAGTCTAAAAAAAATTTTGATCATCAACAATATCAGCGATTGTCGCAATTTCTAATGGGACTTAATGATAATTACAGTCAAGCACGCAGTCAAATTCTCATGAAGTCTAAAATGTCCGCTGTTAATCAAGCTTAAGCAATGATTCAACAAGATGAAAGTCAAAAAATTGTAGCTGGTAATAGTTCATATCTCTGATTCTTCAGATCCCACAACCTTGGATACATCAAAGATGGGACAAAAGATGAAGAAAAATTACAATTTGGAGTGTGATTATTGTAACATGAAAGGGCACACAAGGAATGGTTGCTACAAGTTGATGAGGTGTGAATATTGCAACATGAAAGGGAACCTAAAGGCGAATTGTTACAAGTTGAATGGCTACCCTATGGATTTTAAGTCAAAGAGGAAAGTAAACATGACTAGTAGTCTTTCAAGCCATAATGCTCATATTTCATCCGATGGAATGTCATTTAAACCACAAAATTATGGTCAACAAGGCCTTGGACAAGGACAACAACAGTTAGGGCAACAACAATATGCCCTTGCACCTGTGTTTACACCTGAGCAGTATCACCAGATCCTTACTATGCTAAACAAAACACGTCTCAGAAGCTCCTGCTAGTGCACATATAGCAGGTAACGTTTCATATGTTCAGCAGTCTAATGAAAAATGGATTGTAGATACTGGGGCCACTAATCACATGGTTGGTAACCAAAATACTTTGCATGATACAGTGACAACAGGAAATGCAAGCAGTGTACAGCTTCCAACAGGTGATTCAGCTAAGGTATCTCATGTTGGAAGTTGTCAACTGAATGGAGGAGAAACTATTACAGGTGTTTTATGTGTGCCAGCATTCAAGTTTAACCTATTGTCTGTGTCTCAACTGACAAAGGCTCTTAAGTGTTGTGCTGCCTTTTATCCTGAATTCTGTATTTTACAGGATCTCTTTACTGGGAAGGTAAAGGAGATTGATAAGAAGGAAGAGGGACTTTATGTGCTTCATACACATGGAAGACTAAAGGATCCAGTTAAGTCATTCACAGTAGTACGAGATGAAACTGAGTTGTGGCATAGGAGGTTGGGGCATGTTCCAATCTCAATCATTACGAAGTTGCCTAGTTTCAATTGTAGTAATAGTACTGGAATAAGCCATTGTGATATTTGTCCATTGACAAGGCAAGCTAGAATTCCATTTCCTATAAGTACTAGTAGAGCAGCAGACTGTTTTGATTTGTTGCATATGGATGTACGGGGGCCTTACAAAGTCTTAACTCATAATGGGAAGAAATTTTTTCTCACAATTGTAGATGATTGTTCTACATGGACTGGAGTTTTTCTATTGCATCTTAAATCTGATGTAATTACAGTACTCAAACACTTCATTATTATGGTAAGAACACAATTTGGCAAGATGATAAAATGCTTCAGGTCTGATAATGGCACGGAATTTTTTAATCAGAATTGCAATGAACTATTTTCAGCACATGGAATTATGCATCAAAGTTCTTGTCCATACACCCCACAACAGAATGGGATGGTGGAAAGAAGGCACAGGCATATCTTGGAGACAGCAAGGGCCATAAGGTTTCAGGGTCACTTGCCTATTCATTTCTGGGGGGAATGTGTGGATGCAGCAGTATACATCATCAACAAGATACCCTTCATTGTTCTAAACAACAAATCACCATTTGAAGTGTTGTTTGGCAGACAAGCTTCTATATCTCACATGAGAGTTCTAGGATGTTTATGTTTTGCCACTAATCTAGTGAGGGGAGATAAATTTGGTCCTCGAGCAATAAGATCAGTATTTCTGGGACATGCTCCTACACAAAAAGGATACAAGTTATACAACATTGAGCAAAGGTCCATCTTTGTGAGCAGGGATGTAGTTTTCCATGAAGATGTATATCCCTTTCAACAGTAAAGAGCATTCCCTCAGACAACTTCTATAACCAACACCGATTGCATGTTGTCACTTGTTAGTAGTAGAGGTGATAGTTCTCTTGAGACCGATCATGTTATTACAGGAGACAGTACACCTATACATGAGATGCATGACACATCATCTGATCCTACATTTTCTATTCCCAGCAGTGTAGATGAGGCTTCCCTTCCTGCTTCAGAGATACAGACACCAGTTATTGACAACCATGCTTTGGTACAAAATGAGGCACCTTTTGCTTGTGATTTGAGGAAGTCTGGCAGGACCATCAGACCTCCCATTTGGCTTAAGGATTACATTAGACCTCAAAGAGGGTCCAGTTCAACACATCATTGCTTATACCCAATCCGTGATGTCACGCATTATGGTGGTCTCTCAGCCAAATATCAAGCTTATGTTACCAAGGTTTCTTCAGAAACTGAACCTACATCCTATTATGAAGCAGCTAAGGATGGGTTGAGGCCATGAAGGCAGAGATTCAAGCTTTAGAAGACAATCACACTGGGAAGTTGTGACATTACCTCATGGAAAGAAGGCAATTGGTTGTAAATGGGTCTATAAGATCAAGTATACAGCTTCTGGAGATATAAAAAGATTCAAGGCTCAATTGGTGGCTAAAGGATATAGCCATAAGGAAGCCTTGGATTCTCACGAAACATTTTCACCTGTAGTGAAAATGGTCACAGTTAGGTCTGTGATTGCTATTGCAACTGCAAAAGGTTGGGTCTTGCACCAAATGGACGTGTACAATGCTTTCCTGCAAGGTGATTTGGAAGAAGAAGTATATATGCATCTGCCTCAGGGATTCTCACATTCAGCAGGTAAAGCACAAGTTTGTCGACTGCACAAGTCCCTTTATGGGCTTAAACAGGCCTCGCATCAATGGAACATCAAGTTAACCACAGCTCTTCTTCAGTCAGGTTTCAAACAAAGTCACCTTGATTATTCTTTGTTCACCAAACATCTTAATAGGAGAATAGTCATCATTCTAGTATACGTGGATGACTTACTCATTAATGGAGATGATGTTGCACTTATATTACACACTAAAGACATACTTCATCAAAGTTTCAAAATAAAGATTTGGGGGAGCTAAAATATTTTTTGGGAATTGAGTTTGCGAGGAGTAAGGAAGGCATTCTGTTGCATCAGAGGAAATATTCCCTTGAACTTATCTCTGATGTGGTTTGGCAGGGGCAAAACCTGTAGGGGCTCCTGTTGAGGTGAAACAGAAGTTAACCACAACTTATTTTGATCATCAATTTGGTATTGACAATGATTCTTTGCTCCCATATCCTAGAGCCTACCAGAGATTGATTGGTAGGTTGCTCTACTTGACTATTACTAGGCCGGACATCTCTTTTGCAGTGCAATGTTTGAGCCAGTTCATGCATGCTCCTAAGACCTCACACTTAGAAGCTGCATTAAGAGTGATCAGGTACTTGAAGAAGAATCCTGGTCTAGGGATCCTTATGTCATCTACAGGCTCTACCAAGTAGCAAGCCTACTGTGATGCTAATTGGGCCTATTGCCCAAATACCAGGAGGTCTGTAACTGGTTATCTGGTTACACTTAGTGATTCTCTCATTTCTTGGAAATCCAAGAAGCAAAATACTATTTCTCGCAATTGAGGCTGAGTACAGGAGTTTGGCCTCAACAGTGGCAGAGATTGTGTGGTTAGTTGGTTTGTTCAGTGAATTGGGGGTCTCTCTCACTCTGCCAGTTCCACTTTATTGTGACAGTAAATCAGCTATGCAAATTACTGCTAACCTAATTTTTCACTAAAGAACTAAACATATTGATATGGATTGTCATTTCATCCGTGAGAAGGTGCAACATGGGCTAGTAGAGACTGTGTATTTGCCTTCTGTGGATCAGCCTGCTGATCTCTTGACAAAGGGATTGGGTTGTCTTCAACATGATCACTTGCTATCCAAGCTAGGCCTAAAGAACATTTTCATTAGACCTAGCTTGATGGGGGTGTTGAGGAATGTACTGATACGGGGCAAAGTAGTTAGTGGTAGTTAGTTTGTTATTTAAATCATAGTTAGCTAACTAGGGTACATAATAGTAACTATGGTTGAGTTAGAAGTCAGTTAGTATAAATAGTAGTTAATCGGTTAGTTGTGTACAATTGGATTTCATTTTTTCAATGGAACAGTGAATTCTCGTTTCCAGCTCTTCCTTCTCTTCGTCTTCGACTCTTTCGTACCTTTTGATCCAACTGATAATTGATTGAATTCATCAAATTGACATATATGTACAATTTTGGATCCAAAGTTTTTAGCGCATTTGAGAATTCTTCAATTTAATCTAATTTGGCTCCCCACAATGCCTGGACTGTGTAAAACCCCTTAAGAATCTTGTTTTCCATTGTATAAAGATATATCAAAATAATTTGGTAAACAACTGCATAGGCAAAAATGAAAATGAAAGAAAGAAAGAAAAATTCAAGCATTAGAGGAAAGAAGAGAAGTTGTATCGCATGAATAACACAAAAATCTAGTCAAAGCTAAAGGCACACATAACTTTATCAATCTGAAAGTTGCAGTAACATGAGAAGAGATACATCGACNCATTGATAGAAAGTAGTACTTAAAGAGTTACAGTTCACATAAACTTTATGCATACTTCTTTCTTTCACTTTACATTTTATTTGTTTGCTCATGGAAGTAAGGCATTTCACATGTAACATCTTCCTTTGACTTTCTCAATTGTTATACTAACAATTATGGCCTAGCAAGTATGCACAACAAAAGTTGTTTGATATATCCTGTAAAGACTCCTTATCTCGTCATAGAATATTTAAAGTGCCATAAAGAAAGGACCTTAACTTCGCTATGCCAGACTAACACATTTCTTATAAAACCAAAATAGAGTATTAGCTAAACAAAATTTCTCCAACAATATGAAGCATGTAAGTGAGTATTGAAGTACAACAATAAAGACAGGGGAACTGTGGCAGATTCTCTATTTGCTTCACAATATGGAGTCAATAATCAAACCAGTCTCAAGTTCCACAACACTATAGCAAAAAGTTTAATATGATTTAAACACCGAAATAACTTTTAAAGCTTACCATTTAAATCTTTTGATAACCTGAAAAATTCACTATTTTTCAGCTTGACATCTCAGCCCGCCTCTCTACCACTTCCACTTGAATGTATACTATTGCTATTAAATTTGGATCTCAAACCCAAAGCCTCCTACCCGATTTATACATCAGGGGAGTGTATTACTTGAATAATGATAGAGTGTTTGCCTTTTTTATCCAACTCTTTTAATTCGTAGTTAATTGGGACAAAAATAATTATTTTCTCCCGAGATACATTTGTGCATATCTACTGCGACGTTACAAATTTCTATTAACAATTCAATGTTCCTCAATCGTTTAAGGTCTACACAGCAAATCCATAGTATCCTTGTTTCCGGATACACATGTTGTAAGTATTGCAAGTAGTTTACAATTTTACAAAATTAATATCTGTAAGTTGGTATAAATCCAAAAAACAATATGGTATATTTATTCTCTTGTTAACACAAATAAAGTTAGGTAAATAGTAGACATATTCTAATGGAAATGCAAATGGCAACAAACGGCATATATGTAAAACATATGATACAACTAATAAGAAGTTAACAATGTAGCATTTGAGTTGTTGAATGATAGATCAGAATGTTGGGGAGAATATGTTGAAAAAAATATAAATAAAACATAGTTAGTGGTTTCACTCATATGATCAAACACCTTGAATTTGCACAGTGCGGTAGTACTAAAAGTCATTTATATGAACCTGATGTTGTACAAAGGTACGTAAGCCAGAATACATAAAAAGCGTATATAGAGGAAACAACTAATTTCATGGAGAAATCTTACTACATATCAATGTGCACTAATAAACTTATAGCTATAACTACCAAAAGTAATCTCTAATACCAGGCGCTTTGAAGATTATCATGCAGAGGTTTTAATTTCAGCTTCTCATATTTCTGTAAGAAATTATATTTAAGAAGAAAGAAAAACAAAAATCTAAGAGAAGGCGAGCAAATGAGAAAAACTTTAAGAAAATCAGTGGCTTTGGCATATTATCAAACACTCTCTGTGCATAAGTGTGCAAATCTGATACAATTAACGCCATGAGTGTGAAAATCAAGCGAAAATTCCAACAGAACAGAGGAAGTATCAGATACCCATTAAAATCTCATTAACAATAACAAGGTGCATTTAAATAGAAATAAGACCATAGAAAAACTTACCAGTAAAGACAAGCATGCAATATATATCTTGTTTAGCTATACTTGTTCCATTCTACACAAGATCTTTGCATCTTGTTTCTCTCTTTATCTCGCAACCGAGGATAGAGAAAGGGGAGGAGAGAGAATTATTAACCTTGATTAAAGGTTTAAGTTAACTAAGCAAGTCTTATCCCTTAAATTAATAAGAAGACACGTGTAAGATAATCAAGCCCAACTTTGGGAAAATGGAGAGATTGCAACTGGAGAGGAGGAAGAATAACAAGAGCAGAAGAAAAGGAAAAAGAAGAAGAAATAAAGAATATTTTATGCAAGCCCATGTTGAAAGATGCTAAGGGATGATACTTATTCTAGAAGAGTCTAGCAATTCTTTCAACGCCCTTGAATTAACCTAGCTCTATTTATTTCCTCATTACTATTTGTACTCTTTTATTTAATGTGTGGGAATCGGCTTGCATGTAACTTGACTTTTTCCTCATATATATTTACATAAATTAACTCTAATTCTTACATAAATTCTTAAATATGTCAAGGTGTATATCATCAACTCTAATTATAACTTTGGTCTAAAGTGAAAAACGAAAATAATTACACCTATTTCATTTGCCCAGATTCTCTTCGCTTGAGCCAAGGAAGGTGAAAGATTTGATTCATTTTACATTTACTTTTTTCTAAATTTCTATGGCTAAAGTATAGTATTTACTATTTACAAACCAAATGCTACGATTGGAAAAATGGATAGTCATCGGAAATAAAACATTACCAAATTTCAACATTGTTCGATAAAGTCTAGAAGGATAATAAATTTTTAATAGCTTGATAGCATTTTTGTTATTAAACATTAGTTATCACTTAGAGGTCATTTTGTAGAGTGCATCAGATAAAATAATACATGCATTAACTTTGTGTATTAGTAAAATCTTGTTTGGTACACCTTTTCAACTTATGTATAACTAATACAAGCATTAGTTATACACCATATTTGATATTATCATATGTATAGCTAATGCATAGTAAACCATGGCATTAGCAATGCCAAGGCTATTAATGCATGTATTAGCATGGTTAAAGGCAGAATTATCCTTAAAGTCCCTTAAAGCTAAATAATATGGAGCACATTTTTGTAAACAAATAATTTTCTTAAAAATTATGCAATGAATTTTAATCTTTAATACACCACACCAAACAATGGATAAGAACTATGCTTGCATTACTAACTCATGCATTATTAATCCCTGCATACACCTTATTCAGCATTATTCTTATACACCCTACGAAACGACCCATTAATGATTGCGGTTGCATTTAAAATCATACATAAATATTAAGTGCAACACTTTCACTAGTATTTTTTTTCACATAAAGGCGGTGTTCGGTTTATTTTGCAGGCATCTTAAAATTTTAACTAAAGACATGCAATTTCTCATTGGTTTATAAGCATTAAATAAATCAGTCCACAATCAATTTTACTAGATATGCACTTCATTATTGCTAGCGATATTTTCTAGTGGCTATACCTAAATCAAACATTGCCGATTAAGTTAATTTTTTTTATGAAAATTATGCTCAAAGTCGAATCTACTATCTAATTTTTTAAATATTTTTGTAATGAAACTTTACTTAACTGGCAAAATATGATTTTTCGTAACCCATAGGTATCATGATCCGATAATTTTTTTTGAAATGAGACTAATGCCTAACAAATTCTCACATTTTGGATATCCTTGCACTAATTATTGGCATGTGTTTACTCTTAAAAACAGATAACAATTGAATTTATATGTGGTTTTAAGGATATGTGGATTAATTCAATAGAAGTATTCAATGACGTTAGATTAAGCAAATAAAAGACGTAATAACTTGCCAAACCAACGATAAGAGTGATCCCGAGCTCGGTTAATGGCTTAACGAGGAACCTACCTTCGGCTCCGAGCTTGCACTTATGAAGAACTTATGAACAAAAATAAGAACTTTGAATAACTTTTAAAAACAGAGAAAATATCAGTAAATTGCCTTGGTATGCCTATCACAATGTGTTTAATGAATAATAAGCTTTCCCTTTATATAATGGGGAATTTTTACCCTAAGTACAATCCTAAGAAAGGTAAAAATCTTTTGTTTCGCTAATTACTAATTTTTTGCCGATACGGGTCGAGATACACGCCGTGATATCCGGTTGGGCACAGATATCACGGCCCTTTGTTAGTCGTGTGCGGTTGTTTGGTAATGCTCTCCGAAGTTTTGGGGCTAGAACCGGACCCGGAGGACGTGGTCTTGATACCCCCGAGGGCAGGTGTTTTGCTCGAGCCCCGAAACGAGGGGCTCCTCGCTCTGACTCCGATTCCTTACAGTCACGTCCCTGCTCCGTTTGCCTCACCGAAAAACCGGGGTGCTCGGTAGGCTCGGTTTTACCCGTATACAGATAGTCCCCTCGTTTCTTAGAGAGTAGGCTTGCCGAAACGATGGGAAACGATAGATGACTCTGGTTCCTTCCTTCGTACGTTACGACGAGGGAGCCAAAACGTCCCATCGGTCGCGTCGTTCTAATTTTAGACACGTGTCGCTCATCGGCTGGTTGCCCCGAATGCGAAGCGTCGGCCGTTTCCCTATAAAAGCTTCCTCCCTTTGTTCTTTTTCTACTTTTCGACTAAATTATTACCTTCGAGCTTTTTAGCCATCATCAAACCTTCTTCAAACCTTCATATTTTCATCCTTGTTCTTCAATCTTCATAGTTATTTCTAGATTTTTACCCAGATTTTCTTTAAATCTTCTTACTCTGTTCTTCATCTTCAAAACTCGTTTTTCCAAAACTTTGCATTCTTTCTTCAAATTTTCAAACCCTCCCCAGATGACAATGGCCAAAACATCGAAATCGCTCCTCAACAAGTTGCCTCTTTATCTTCTCAACCGATCGCTGGTACTGAAGCGGTTGCCCCTAAAGTAGTCGCCCTCGAAACGGCTTCCCCCGATGTGGTTGCTAAAGAACCGGCCCCCAAGCCTCCCTTGAAAGCGCTCATTCCCGGGGGCTGCTTAATTGCAGACGACTTTAAAGTCGAGAAGCCCTCACATAAACAGGACCGAGGCGAAGGAATCTCGAGGTACATATGCTCCGTGACTGAAGATGTTCTTCCCATAGTTCGAAAGGACTGCAATTGGGAGGGAAATGACGCAGTAGTCCCCGGGCCCGCGGACGCCGTTACTACCCACGTGGAGGGGTACTTAAGTGTTTATACTTACCCCTTCACGTTGGGCCCAGTGGACCCGGTTGTTCTGACTTTTGCAAGAGGTACGAGGTATGCCTCGACAAATCCATCCATCGCTATGGAGGATCGTGATCTTCCTCCGCTACTTTGTGAACAATACAGAGTCTCGTCGGTTCACGATCGACCACTTACTTCAGTTATACAGTCCCTGAATGTTTTGAGGGGGATTGATCAAGCTTACTCGCCAGGCCAGCAAGGTCCCATTTGCGAGTATCGATTAAGACCAAAATCGGGGCTGGCAGGGATGCTTCATTCGAGTGAAAACCGAGCATTTGATCCTCCCTGAATACATGCCATTCCCGGAGAAGTGGAATGCATCTCGTAAGTGCAATCTCTCTTTAAACGTCAAAATTCTTTTTCTTCAATTTCTTTTCTCTTATTCATGTTTGTGGTTGTGCAGCTGTCGCCCGGGTTCCAAATGCGGCTCACCGGCTAATGGAGTGGATCGAGGGAATCTGTACTCAGATGTCGTACTTCGAGCGCACATGGCGCGGACTCTCTAAGGGCCGATGAGAGGCCCGTTCTCATGGTAAGGCCTATTTCTAAATAGCCAATACCACGTTTCTATCTTTTATTATACTAAGTCATCTTCCCTTTTGTTATTGCAGGTTTGCCTAAGATCACCGAACTTAGTCCTTCGGAAGGGAACGAGGATGTTCCCCTGTCCGTTGATCCCTCAGTTGATCCATCCATTGTTGCCACCGAGAAAAAGAAGAAAAGGAAAAGGAAACCATCGGGCTCCTCGGACTCCGAGGTGAAGAAACCAAAGAAAAGGGTGCTCCGCAAGCCCAGGAGGGGCTCCAGTTCCCGGGTGCCGGATTTTGACACTATTCTCTGGATTAGGGATGAGCCGGAGGATGAAACTATTTTTGTTACCCATGGGACGACTTATCCCGGGGAATCAGAGGCATCCAGGGGGGGAATCGTGAGATCGACCCCGCTCCAACTAAAATGACTGATGTGGATACCCGAGGTGAAACTCCCCAAGATATCGGCTGCTCCAAAGGAAGTGCCCGGTATAATTGAGATCTCGGGGATTCCCTCCTACACTGAGTCCATGCTCGAGGAGGCCCAAGCAAGAAAGGAGAAGTCTAATAATGAGGTCCATGGTGTGGACGATCCCCTCCACTCTTTTTTTGATGGTGTGGACTCGTCTACTTTAGAAGACTTCTCTGGGCTGGGCGACCTGGAAGTCCAAAGAAGGACACATCCTCGGAAGCTGGTGGGCCGAGCTCTAGCCTGAAATTGATCAACCAGTTCCCTAATCCGAGTGTGGACCCCGGTCGCAAGAGATCGATTATACTGTCCGTCCTGGTAGATGCCCGGGTTTTGTCTGCTCCTATGGGGTAGCTAGCTACCTCCGATAAATAGTGACCGAGGAGGACCAGATAAAAATGAATGAGGTGAACGTGCCATGCCTTTTCAATGAGGCGCAGCAGGCTCTGAACCGGGTAAGGCGTCGTTACTTTCCATCAATTTATTGTTATCTGTGTTTGATGTTTCTCACATTTTTTGCCTTTTTGTAGGCCTCGGTACTTCATCACAAGAGTTTCCTTCAGTACCGAGTTGATGTCAATCAGCTTGAGCTCGAGATCAAGGAGCTTGCCCGAAAAAGGGACATGAATAAGCTTCTCAGCAAGCAGCAAGAGCGGGTCTCTAAGAACCTCCATGCCGAGCTGGATGCAGCTCAGAAAAGAGCATTGGCCTTAAGGAAAGAGCACACCGACTTAATGGAAAAGGTAAAGGTTTTTGAAGTTAGAAACGAGGGTCCGATTGCAGTGACTAACAACAATACCTCGCAAGTCCCGCAGAAGATCAACCAGATCGACCAACTCCAAAAAGAGATGAACGAGATCCAAGTAATGGTCGACGAGTGGAAAAGCAAGATGGACATGCTGGCCTCGGAGAAGGAGACCACCCAGGCCAAGCTGTCTTCGGTGGAAGTTTGGCTTCGGGTGGCGAATGAGAAGGCTGATACACGGGCTCAGTAAAATGAGGATGCCCTTGGTAAGGATCTTGAAATAACGAGGTCTAGGTTAGAGATAACCTCGGCCGATGTTGACGAGATGGTGGCCCAATACAAGGCCGATGTCG